CCGGTCTGGCGTTGTTGTAGCTTTGAATTGGCAACTTCTTCAAGTAAGCAAACTTCTTTGCTGCCTCTTCTAGTTCGAAGGATTGCGTCGGTAGGTCACCGTGCGAGCATTTAAAAGTTTGTAATATCGCTTCTGATTCGGTCCCGAAACTGTAATTGTCACGGTCTGTGACTCCTTCTCTACCCGCGACGTATTCCCGGTCCATCTCAGACAGAGTGGACGTGGTTCTCCTGCCAACCCAAGCTGCGCTACCAGATCACCTTCGACTAGCGTCAATGACGAGCCTTCGTCCAGAAAAGCGAAGGTATCAACTTTCCCTGACTTTCCGTGCAACGTCACGGGTATAATCCGGAACAAGAACGTGAAGGTAAGAATGCTTAGTGAAATATCAAAGTATGTGAGAACGGTGTATGGAGGCGATGAACCACAAGCTGGCGCAACTCTATGGTGAACCCTGTATCCAGAAAGTTGCGAAAGCTGGAGGGGTACGATGGGCGGGACACGTTTTAAGAATGCCGGACAACAATCCCGCAACAATGGTGTTTGCCTCGAATCCGGCCGGTACAAGACGAAGAGGAGTACAGCGCGCAAGGTGGTTAGACCAAGTGAAGCAGGATCTTGGAAGAGTGGGACGGTCAAGAAATTGGAGACAAGCAGCCACGGACCGAGTGAATTGGCGCAACATTGTGGTGCAGGTGCAATTCTGAGGGATGTCGGACCAGGATAAGTAAGTAAGTAAGTAACTAGCTGGTGATTGGTGGAGTGCACCTTTCTGAACCCGAACTGTTCTGGAAGGGTAAGGTTGTTTTCGTCAACAAACCTGAACAAACGATTGAGAATGAGTTTCTCGAACAATTTACTCAGCGCTGAAAGGAGGCCGATTGCTCTGTAGCTTGAAGACAATGTTAGATCTTTACCGGGTTTGCGGATGGGTATAATTTTTGTGACCTTCCTTGGATGCTTGGAAAGTAGTGCAACTTCAAGCATCTGTTGAAGATAACGATCAAAAGAGACTGCACATTACTGCTGAGTCTCTTCAAGATTAAGTTGAATATGCCGTCAAACCCGGGACCCTTCATATTCTCGGTGAATTTCAGCGCTGAGCAAATCTTATCCGACGGAGGCATCTAGGTTTTGAACGCATTTCGCAACCTGATCTTCGAGCGGACTTTGGATAGTCGAGCCAAGCAAATGCGGTGAAGCGAGCTTTCTCCTCTTCATCATACTCGTCTCTGAGAGGTGGGACGGGTTTGGGTTGAGTTTTTAGAACCTTGGATACCTTCCAGAATAGTCTATTAATATATTGATGAGAATTATTGTCAATACTGTGGGCGAAATCACCGACCACCTATCTCCAGATAAACCATCCTACCGTTTCCTACACGGTTAGAAAAAAGTACCTTCACTCATTTCTTTTCACTCTTTCTTTTCACTCATCTCGGCACTATAGTGCAGGAACCCAAAAGTAGGTAAAGCGGGTCAAAGTAATTTTCATTTACTTATGTGCAGTTCGTATGGAATTTTCCACTGGCTTTTTAACCAAAAGTAAGTTAGTTGTACCCAACAGTAGGTAAATATGATTATACTCAACGTTGGGTTCCCACACTTTACTACCCCTATTGGGTGGTTTTGCTCCTTCGTTTTTGACAACATTAGAAGGAGAAAAGGAGACAAACTAGTCAAAAGTAAGTAAAAGTGAACTGGCCGTTGGGTACTTTTTTCTTACCGTGTACCCCTTACATCATCATGATGACATCTATGGCAGTTGCCAACATCGCAGGCTAAAAACAACACCAGCTTCATAAGCAGTAGCAGGCGTACAGTTGTTTCTCATACCTTGTTCCATTCCACATTCTGTATTCCTAGAGTATAATTATTATTAAAGACCGTGTGAAACAAGTTCGGCCTCGTGTATATTTTATATTAGAAAGAATTTCTTTTTCGTGGTTTCCTCCGGTTCGCTTCGTTTCTGCTGGTTCTGCCCACAGGTTATGGGCCCAGATCGAGGAAAGTGCGGAAAAGTGACGGACATTAGAAGAAAAAACGGGTCGGTCAGTTGATCGGTCGAGTGCGCTAGTGTGACTTCATTTTGTTTTCTGCCACGCGGCGGAATCTCGGTGAAATGGCGGAGGGTGCAAAAGTGTCTTTGCCGAAGCTCACCCAGCCGAACTGGGGCTCCTGGAAGCAGCGTATGGAGTGGCTGCTGGAGCGAGAGGACCTTTGGGAAGTGATTATTGTTGTTAAGCCAGAACCCGAGACGGAAGGATGAAGGGCAAAAGACCGAAAAGCGCGGGCAAACATTGGGCTCTGTCTGGACGAGAGCCAATTTAAAGTAGTGAAAAATTGTGAAAGTGCGAAGGGAATGTGGGAAGCATTAAAAACCCATCACGAGAAAGTGTCTATGTTAACGATTGTTCACTACCTGAACCTTTTGTGCAGTGCTAGTTTGTCGGAGGGTTCCTGCATGGCAGCTCACCTTGAGAACATGGAAGATTTGTTTGACAAGCTCACGGCAGTCGGTCAGAATCTTGAGGATACCACTGCGCATCGCGATGGTATTTCGTAGTTTGCCATCATCCTTCCTGAATCTGGTGCATGGAATGCAGAGCCAGATAAACGCGGACTGGACAGTGATGATGGTGAAGAATCGCCGAAATCGTGATGAATCGCTTGCACAGGATGTGAAAGCAATGAAGTTAGATGCTGCGAGTGGCAAGAAGGAACGTTTGTGTTATTTTTGTCAGCAACCGGGACACCTTCGGAAGCACTGTAAAAAGTGGCGTGCGCAGAAGAAAGGTGATTTCGAGAAGAAGCCGAAAAGTGAAGACAAAAATCCAAAGGCCAAACAAGCTGATGGTGATGCAACTGGTAGTGCGGTTTGCTTTGTGGCTGGTGCAGTGATTCGTAACTGTTGGGTGATCGACAGTGGCGCTACGTGCCACATAACGTGTGACAGGTCGTTTTTCACGGAGTTGCGGGTAACCGTCGGTACGACAGTGACTCTGGCCGATGGAAATAAGACGAAAGCGTCAGGCAGGAGAACGCGCGCGGTGAGAGAGTCGAAGTTACTCTGAAAAATGTACTGTTCGTTCCGGAATTAGACGGTGGGTTGATTTCTGTCGGAGCGTTGGCCGCGAACGGTTTTTCCGCGAAGTTCGGCGTGTCGGGTTGTGAGATTCGTAATGCACACGATGAAGTGGTTGTGATTGGTGATAACTCGGGCAGTTTGTATAAGCTGCGAATCCAGGAGTGTTCGCTCAAAGTGGCAGGTGATCATCACGAGCGGTGCCAGCATACGTGGCATCGTCGAGTTGGACACCGGGACCCCGATGTTCTGCGACGATTGAAATCGGAGGATCTGGTGCGTGGTTTTCTAATGAAAGACTGCGGTGTGCGTATCACATGCGAGAGCTGCCTAAAGGGGAAGTTGGCACGAGCGCCATTCCCTGCTTTGGCCGAGCGAAAGACTTCGAGACCTCTGGAGCTGATCCATACGGACTTGTGTGGGCCTATGGAGACCACAACACCCTCAGGTAATCGATATATTATGACCTTAATTGACGATTATAGCCGTTACGCCGTGGTGCACCTGCTGAAGCGCAAGGATGAGGCTGCAGATAAAATTAAGCAGTACGTTCGTTGGGTGCAGAATGTGTTTGGGAGGAAGCCCCTAGTGTTTCGCTCTGATGGCGGGGGCGAATATACCGGTCGTGCGCTGGGAGAAGATTTTTCGAAGGCATCTTTCATCAAAGCTGAGCGTACAAGCAAGAGGTCCAAACATATAGACACGAGACAACATTTTGTGAAGGATATGACGGAGCGAGGCGAAGTTGATCTGGTCTACTGTCCAACGGAGCGGATGATAGCGGACGCACTCACAAAACCCCTGGGTGCGACTAAATTTCGACAGCTGGTGGAGATGAGCGGGCTTTCGAGATGAGTCGATCCGGTGCTCGTTGAGAGTGTGGGAGAAATTACCGACCACCTATCTCCAGATAAACCATCCTACCGTTTCCTACCCCTCACATCATCATGATGACATCTATGGCAGTTGCCAACATCGCAGACTAAAGACAACACCAACTTTACGAGCAGTAGCAGGCGTACAGTTATTTCTCATACCTTGTTCCATTCCACATTCTGTATTGCTAGAGTATAGTTATTATTAAAGACCGTGTGAAACAAGTTCGGCCTCGTGTATATTTTATATTAGAAAGAATTCCTTTTTCGTGGTTTTCTCCGGTTCGCTTCGTTTCTGCTGGTTCTGCCCACAAATACTGATGTATTGACGTCAATATAGAATGTGTTGATAATACGATTATTGTCAATAAAAACAATCGTGTAGGGTCCACTTAACGTTTTGATTTATTTAATTATTTATTAATTTACTTTCGGAATGTTGCCAAAGAACTGTCAACAATTACAATTCAAACTCTTTCACGTCGGAAAAGAAAATTGCCCAAAATAAACCATTCTCTCACGGCTGCCAAACAATCGAAGGTAACATTCTATTTCGACAAAAAATCTCATTGCAATGTGATGAGTTCATTCGTCCTCTAGTCTAGAACCTAGTAAGGTACTAAGACGAGATGTCGTCATGCCACAGATAGAAGTTATACAGCGAACTTTCAAGACGCTGAATCACACATACATAGCATCGAGTCGAACCATTTTTAGAACGTTTGGCGTCCAAAATAAAACCGAGCAATCAAAAACAATCAACCGCCTACCTGTTGCACATGATCGAAGCAAACTGGCGGATGGACGCGCAAATTTTGTTTACAAAACATTCGGCACCACGTGCTTCCCGTCCGCGAGATTAGATCGATTTGTAAGGATGAATCTTGGCTTTGATCGTGTCGTGAATGATCGTGTCGTGAATCACCGACTTCGTGCCAATAGTCTCGCGAACTCTGACCTCGGTTGTAGGACGGCAGCACCGGGCCAGGCCAGGAGGAGTGAAAGTGATTCAAATGCACCGCCGATGGGTTCATCTTCATTAAGTTGCAGCAGGTCGACCGCAGTGGTAACGTGGTGGTTCTTGGCAGAATTGAGAGCCTGAAAGGGAAAATTGGAAAATTATAGTTGATTATTTTATTTTCTGCGTGTGTGTGTGTGAGGAAAAGTTCCAACGATATTTCCTGAGGGAAAGTGATTTGATCGAGTAGGAATCGAATTCGAGCGTTAAAATGGTGCTGGATATCGCGCTGGCAAGATTGGACAACACGACCCCGTTTGGGTTCAAACTCATCGGTGGAGCCGATTTTGACGTTCCGTTGCAGGTCGTCAAAGTGAGTTCCAGGCTTAAATGTGCCATTTTATACGTAAACAAACAAATGTCGGTCCAGAAATTTGGACGAAAATGACTAATTTCAAGCAGAGAAAAAATGTGCGCCGAAAAATGTGGTTACGTAACGTAGCGCAGAATACCCTGTAGAAATCGAAGGTTAAGATAGGCTTTCGATTACTTCAAGCCACGCCAAGGTGTTCCCCATGACGGACCGACGCTATTCTTTGAAGGCTGTGTGATTAAAAATAGGTTGGACTCGACGCGCAAACGGGCAACATTTTAACCAAGGACTTTTATTGAAATTTTTCCCTGAAGCGAAAGCCGCCATATTGGAAAACGATCAGCTGTCAGTGGCGAGGCCTAACCTCAATGCCGACTTGATTGATTGATTGGCTGGTTTTTCTTGCTCGGTGTGCTGGCGGTATTTTCATCGCCTTCTTGGATGCAAGCAGAATGGCAGCAGAGCGTGAATTAAAAATAGCCTGCTTGGATGGTTGATTTTTGTTTCGTTTTTTTTTGCGTTCTTATCCGTAGGTCATACCCGGAAGCATTGCCGAGGAGGTTGGCATGTACCTCGGGGACGTGGTGATGCGAATCAATGACATACCGACCAGCAACATGTCGTACTACGACGCCCATCAGCTGATGGCCTGTGCGGGGAATCGGTTTACCCTAGGGATTTTGAGGTTAGTTTTTAAGGTTCGAATGTTGAGGCATGGTCTAAAAAATGGGCGAAAATTGCAGAGCACGTGAAATTCCCCCGCAGCAGCGAGCTATTGTCAAGGAGAAGACTCCCAGTGGAGAGGCGGACTTCAACAGTTTGCCAAAGCCGTTCTGGACTCCGGGAAGCGTAAGTAGCATTCCGCAGACCAAGGAAGAACAGGAAATCGAGCAGAAGATTCCGGACGTCCCGATCACCGATGAGCAGATTGCCGAAATTCTCTCCGGTGAGGCAGAAGTGCTCAAGCAGCACAACATAATTGGGTGAGTAGAGCTGGTGTTCACTCGCACGTATTTCGCTCACATCGATCACCGCATCTTTCATTGGATCACCCATCTCTCATAAAGGGTCAACTTCAAGAAGATGATCCCTACCGCTGGAGTATTCAAGCAAAGCGAAGTGTTCAAAACTCTCAACAGCGAACTGGTGCAGACGGAGGAGGACAAGAAGTGGACCACCTTCATGCAGAAGCCGAGCCGTCCGACGCCGAAGACTCGCGAGGAGCGTCTGCGCGAAATGCATCCACCCGCGGAGCGCTATCAGGTACGAATCGTAAAACAGCCGAAGCCGAAGATCGCACCCGACTACAAGCCACCCAAATCGCCGGTAAGTTTCGTTCGTTCGTTTGATCGCGAGTGTTGTGTGTCGTTCAGTTAGTTTCCTGCTGTTACTACGAGTTGAAGGACATACGGAAGTGCGCTTTCACTTAGTTGAACGCGAAGTGTTCACCAGTTGATTCGATTTGCTCTACATAGGAGCCAGAGCCAGAACCGGAACCGGTGCCGATGTACGACGACTACCTGTACGAGCGAACCGAAATTGAAATGGAGACCATCAAGACGCTCGAGTCGGAACCAGTCATGGAGAATCCAGGTAATCCCGATAGCCCCGATCCTTGTTCCGATGACCCTACCCGTAATCCAGAAGACAATCCCGGTCCCAATCCTGACAGCAGTAGTGGTAACGACAACGCAGATAACTCGAGCCCTACGATCGCAGGTAATCCAGCTAGCCCGGCAGCCGAGTCGGAGGAGGAACCGGAAGCGTCCGAGGAGTTCCGGTCCCAGCTACAGAACGTCCAGAAACAGTTGGAGGCCCTATCGAGCCTACCGAACACGATCCAAGCCACGATCGCTGCCCTAACGGAGCAGCTGTCCGCCTTGGCTCAACCGAAACGAAAATCCAAGAGCGTCACCCCACGCCCAGAAGGTATTCGAATTTCGGTTGTCACGTGCCATCGCTTATTGCGTTGCATCTACACTACTACACCACACAGTCACTCGAGACACTTGCCGTCGATCACGTGACACACCCACAAAGCACACCTTTGTATCTTCTTTGTGCCGTGCAGAAGTAGCGAATGCATTGATTCGACGCCTAGAGATGGCGAGCGTAGCGGAAACTGCTCTGCTACAACTGCGCTCTCTAGGTCATCGAGTGTTTGTGTGTGTGAGTATGTGAGCGCGTGATAGTGATGAATGCGAAACTGTTTTTACAGAAGGTTCAACAGCTGCACAGCAAGCCGATGGTGATGCTGCTGCAGCGTCGTCGGAGGAGATCGTAGCGGAAGTATCGGAGACCTTCGAGGTTACCGAGTACAGTAAAACGGAAACCGGTACGGCTGAGAGCGAACAGTCCGCTAGCTCTGACGAAGGTGAACACATTATCTACACTGACGAACAGTTAGAGAAGCTGCAGCTCAAGATGAAGGAACACGACATCGAGTGGACCGACCGGAACGATAAGGTAGGTCCCCCGTAGAAGTTAGTCTGAGCTTCCGTACGTACGGAGCGAAGCTGTTCTCGGATTGGAATAATTCAGTTTGTGTTTCTATACATGTATACGCTGCTCGACAACATACACGCACAACACTTACGTAAGTCAATACAGAAACCCAAGTACCAGACAGTGGAGTGGGCGATCAAGACACGTAGATATTTCCTGGTGATGCAGGGTGAAGAGGATGTAGAATACATTACACTGCCACTGCGGATCTCACAAGCAATTTACACCGGAGAAGAGCAGACCACACAACCGATTTCAGACATCACACCTGCCGTCGAAGCACAGTAAACACTATTGTACAACTATCCAAAACATTGAGAAAACGCTTAAATACAAGTTACCGATACCGAATACTACAATCTTGAACCGGAGTTTAACTTATAGCTGTCAAACCTTGTACTAATACGGAAACGATTTGGGTGGCTTGAGGCTTAGTCTACTAACAAGCTTCTATCTACGCGTAGTCTTCGTGGTTGCGAATCTAATCATTTTCCATCCCCTCCCATCCCCCGAATACTATTACTAATTGGGTATGCGCAGAGTTCGGAAGAATCGTCCCAGGCCGGTGTTGCAGAATCTGGGAACACTCGAACGGCGGTCCAGAATGAGCTGAAGCTGCAGGTCGTCAAGAAGAAGAAGAAGGCCGTCAGCTCGTTCGGCCCGTTGACCCCGCAGGAGCGTCCAATCTATCTACCCGGAGGTCGCAAGTGGCGCAACGCCAAGGATGCCTTCAACGAGCAGTTCATCGCCGAGGTGATCAGCTCGCAGGCCGAACTGATCCAGGGAACCACGCTCGGGTAATTAGTGTTTTTGAGTTTCGCTTTCTCTTTCACAGGACATTCAGATAGGCCATTGGAAGCCATTTCTTAATTCATTCTGATCCGCCATGTCATTCATCTACTTGTAGGAACTTTTACGAAAGTCCTCATCTGGGTTACGACGACAGGTAATAGCACCGCCGTTTTCTGGGGTTAGGTTGCGCTCTGTTGTGTCCCCTGTTGTGATATCTGTCTAAAACTGGCATTTGGTGACTAACGTGGAAAATCATGACTCGCACACCTGCACACACATACGCCCTGTCGGGAACAAATTCGCTCTAATCGTTCGATCTCTCGCCATGCATCACTAATCTAAATCATGGTCATCTAACAGTCATTTTGTGTTTTAGGTGAAATTTTGGAACTACTGCTGGTCCGAGGACAAGGAGAAAAAGCCCGAAGTCCACCGGTATGTATGCATGCCCACCTGTTCGACGGCACTCCCATCTAATTGTCTGCCAAACTTTACATTTTCAAGAACAACCTCCAAAAAGTTCTCCAACTGTGAATCCCTGATCTCGAAGTTCGAGCAGGTTCTTTTCAAATAGGTAAGGTCGTGTCGTTGTCCACGTTCACTGTATTCGTCCCGCATGTCTTCGCTTTCCATTCATGTTCCGCAGTTTTCGAACCTCCTCTTCATGTAGATCTAATCCCATACCAACTAATCTGCCGTTCATCGACAGGGTCAACTTCCTCAAGTACCAGAAGCCGGAGAAGGATCTCACCTTCATCAAGAATAGCGACGTATACAAGCTGATCCACGACCAGGACGCCCCGAAGTGCGGTATTGAGCTGCGTCCGGAGCTGGTGCTGGCCGAGGAAGACGTGCGAAAGGTAATGCATGATGAAACCATCTTTCAGCCCCGCAAGGATCGGGTCTTTCTGTTCCAAAATTGATTGCATCTTTCAATCTTCCATTTCCGAATCAATCGCTCTCATCTGTCGTCATCCGATCAATCAATTCTCGATTGGCTGCGTACCCGATCCCGTGACACGTGACACCATCGCGGCCGCCGCTCCACACCATCGACGTCTCACTCGGGGTGTTCCGACCGATTCGACAGTGTACATCACCGTGTTAAAGAGAACCAAGCTTAGTTTGTGCATATTGTACTATCCCCCTCCCCCTCTCCCAACGTCAACATTGTTCTTGAATTTATCTTTTGCCAACAAAAGAAAGTTCCGCGCTATTTCCCTCCCTCCTATTTTTAGCTCCGGTCTGACCCGACGCGGTCAGCTGGTTTCTTTGCGAAATGATGAAAACAACAGACTATTTGTAGCTTGTAAGGATTTTAATTTTAGGACACTTTTCAACCCTTGTTTTTCATTACATACTTCATTTGCCAGAAACAGGTTAGCTGTATAGTTTGTTTTGTAGTTTGATCACTTCGTTGACTTTGGTTTGTCAGAGATTGTCAGAGATTGGACACAATGGAAATCGTCCGAAGAACGAGTCAGCCAAAATCAAATCGCGTGTTGTTTTGTTTTTTTTCTCTCATCCTACAAGTTCACAATGACGCATTATATTTTACTAGGGTTAAGTATTTTAAATATGGAAATATAGACGACAAAATATGTATGACAGAATTACTGGATCCGAAAACTGAGTCCCTAATTGGCTGTCTGGACGAACTTTCGCATATCATTTTGCTTCATACATTCTTGCTTTATTTTATTGCAGTGCGTTGCCTCGTTCATCATTTCTGGGGAGTTATTGGGGTTTCTATGAATAAGGGCCTCCTAACTGCGATGATCGATTCTCTGTGAAAGGTTGTATTATCTAGCAAAATCAATATCAAACGTATCGAGAAATGTTACTCTAGCCGAGTTATTTACAAAAGAGAAGATCGATGAACAGAATTGATCATCGCAGTTAGGCCCTTATGATTTTGAACGCTAGATTTAGACTTTCTCGAAGAAATGTGGAAGCTGCCAAAATCTTCTGTGGCTTTTGAAACTCTTACCATTTTGTGAATACCCCGAAACTGAGGAATGCCCAGCACGCTCCGAAATTGCCAAATGCGTCTTACCTCTTCTGCTACCAGCACACGAGAAGCGACGATGCTTGGTGCTGCACGACGATCGCAGCGACGGTGATGAGCCAAGAATGCCTATGCAAGGTGGAAGCCATGAGAGGTGAAACAACGGGTGTTACATACAGTGTTGCCGAAACATCGGCACTGCCACACATCCCCCTTCTACCTAAAAAAAGGTTGGACCGAGGGGTGAAGAATGACAGCTTGTTGTGAAGTTTATGATCATTTTATTAGTCGACTGCCTTCTAAATTAGAGAGGATTTTAATGTACAATGTTCAGCTGTTCCGGGTCATACTCCGAAGAATCCCTCAAGAGTCCAACGGCGGTCCAACTTCTCACTGTGGTGCACCATGATTCTCCGTTACATGAATGTAATTCTTGAGGTACGCTGGTGCTCGCTTTTCTCTTACCGGACGCCAAGTTACTACCGGTGTTGAGTCGGTTCCCGTAGTTTCACCTACAGGACATTGAGTGGAGTCAGGACTGTTATTTACTCCTTCGGGCTCTCCAGGCTTGCTTATTTCTCTAGGCTGTCTCCAATCATGGACCTTCTTGGTTTGCGACACGTGTCTTTTCAGAACCTGGCCATTGGTGTCGTTCAGGACAAGCATGCCACTTTTTTCTTCTATCACGGTGTACTTACGAGGATCGAATCGGGATTCTGCTTTCGCACGAGTCTGACGTTCGACTACAACCGTGTCACCTGGTTTAATCCGACACGGGCGAGCTCCTCGCCTAAGATCTTCCCGTTGTTTTGCTAGGATCTTGGATTCGCGATCTCTGGTGCTCAGCAGGTCATCATCAAATTTTGCTTTTCCTCGGGATAACAGGGGAAGTCCACGTTTTATTTTCCTCCCCATCATCACTTCTTCGGGTGGTATTCTTGTGACGGAATGGGCAGCCGCGTTATACGCGTGTACTGCGGCATTCAATTCGTCAATATAACTCGTTGCACTTAATGAAGCAGCAGCCATTGCTTTGTTGACTAACTTCATGCAACTTTCTGCCAGCCCATTCTGCTGGGGGTGTAATGAGGTGGAGAAGATTACGTTGATGTCACGCTCAAGGCAATACTTTTTATAATCTTCGCCGTTGAAGGGGGGCCATTATCGGATTTTATGTTTTGTGGAAAGCCTTCTTTCTCGAATATTGCTTCCAAGACTTTCCTCGTACTTTCAAAGCTCGTGGATTTTACTGGTTTCGCAATCACATACCTGGAACGATAGTCGACAATGACCAGGATTGAGATCCCACCGTATTTCAAGTATGGACCATTAAAATCAACAGCGACTGTTTCCCAAACGGTGTTGGGTGCGAAAACACGCTCCATGGGTGTCGGTTTCTCTGGTTTTCCGTTGGTCGCACAAACCGCACATGTATCTACCCATGCTTCCGCATCTTTGGTCATGCCAGGCCACCATACACGTTCCCTCAAAATACTTTTAAATTTTGCCGTTGATGGATGGCCCTCGTGTGCAACTGCTAAAGTTTTCCGTCGAAGATTTTCCGGAATAACTGCGCAACCAGTTTTGGCTAGGATACCTTTTCGAACAACTATGTCACTGCCTAAGACTTCAAATCTTTTTAGTTGCTTTGGCCAGATTCCCGTTTCGAGGGCATCTATTACCTGTAAGAGTTACAAAGATACAGTTGCTTGAAACAGCACGCATAAATTTATATATGAGTATACCTCCTGAAGAAGTGTATCCGTCGCAGTTGCTTTTTGGATCTCATCTTCCGTTAGAAAGCCTGTTGGGTTTGCTTCGATGGACGCAATCTCCCAAGGACTGACGTCTTCCTCGAAGGGCCCATCGTGTCCTTCGTATAGCCTTGAAGATGGATCCGCGATGTTATCCCGTCCTCGCACATACTCAACGTCAAAATTGTAGGGGCTAAGCCTGAGGGCCCAACCGTCAGCACGGTTCAGAGCTCGCTTCGAATCCTCGCGCAATCTGTTCAGAATGAACGTGAAACCTTGCGCGTCTGTACGTAGGGTAAAAGGCCTTCCAAGTAGGAAATAGGCGAAATGTTCTACTGCCCATACTGCCCCTAACGCCTCACGCTGATTTTGTGGGTATCTTTTCTCAGTAGGTGTAAGAGCTTTTGACGCGAAGCTAATAACACGGGGAGGGCGTTCGTTATCCTCCTGAACAAGAACAGCGCCGAGGGCATTCGGCGATGCGTCCGTATATAGGACAGTTTTTTGCTGTTCCGAGAAATATCCAAGGGTCGTAGTGCAATGCACGATTTGTTCCTTCAACCGTTCAAAAGCTCTCGTTTGTTCGTCACCCCATGTCCATGAATTAGCGCTGGTAGCTGCCCACAGTGGGCTCGCCGTCTTGGCGAAACCTTTGATGTATGGACTTACAAAAGTAGCCAGCCCCAAAAAACTGCGAAGTTCCGACACTGTAGAAGGATTCCTGAATCTGCGAATGTCCTTGATTTTTGTTTCTTCAATGTTGAAGCCGTACTGGTCGAGTTCGTGTCCGAGGAACTTAATGCGAGCCTTGTCAAACTCACATTTTCCTGCATTTATGGTCAGGTTGTTCGCTCGTAAAATTCTCAATACTTCAGCAACGGTCTTACGGAGGTCTTCTAAATTTTCCGCGAAGATAAGAATGTCGTCTATATAGACTATAATATTTTTCACTCCTTCGAGCATTCGTGACATTTCTCGTTGGAAGATTTCCGGGGCACAGTTCACCCCGAACATTAATCGGGTAAACCTAAACATGCCATCTTCCGATAGAAACGTGGTCAAGTCTCTTGACATTTCATGGAGCTCCAGATGGTAAAATGCGTTCGTCAAGTCAAGCTTTGAAAAAAATTTCGCTCCATGAAGCTTGAGCTTCATTTCGTCCAACAACGGCAAACGAAAATACTCTCGTTTGATTGCGCGATTAGCGGCCCGCATATTGACAACGAGGCGAAAGTCGTCTTTACCTTTGGCCACCGCTTATCCAGTCCGGGGCCTTTGTCACACGTTCGATAATGCCTCGGTTCTCCATGTCCTGAAGCCTTGCCTTGGCATTGGCTCTATAAGCAGCTGGCACATTATAGTAGGCGTTTTTTATTGGAGGGATAGAATTGTCGACGCTGAACTTCACAAGAACCCCCGGTACCTTCGGAAATGTGTTCGTCCGTTCTGAAACGGCACAGCTGTTGACTGATATACCCAACTTGAGCAGCTTCAAATCACCAGCTGTGGATCGGCCTAGAAGCGAACGCCGACCTTCTTTGACGACTAGAAAGTCTGCCATAATAGATGGTTTATGACAGCCAACTACCTCAACCTGTGTTCTGAACCCACAGTTGACTGAGATTGGTTTACTTGAAGCATAAGATCGCATGTCACTGTTAACCGACAACTCAAATGGCTCAAGCTTTGCGTGGCCCGAGTGGAATTCACGTTTTAAACGGTACCAGTCATCACCGCCAATAACTGCGGATCAGAAGATTCCAGGTTCGACTCCTGGCAGGATCGCCAATGTGAATACCCCGAAACTGAGGAATGCCCAGCACGCTCCGAAATTGCCAAATGCGTCTTACCTCTTCTGCTACCAGCACACGAGAAGCGACGATGGTTGGTGCTGCACGACGATCGCAGCGACGGTGATGAGCCAAGAATGCCTATGCAAGGTGGAAGCCATGAGAGGCGAAACAACGGGTGTTACATACAGTGTTGCCGAAACATCGGCACTGCCACACACATTTCAGCTTTTCCTTGTCGTTTTCGCACCCAAAAGGTTCACCAGCTGGATTTTTTATGTAAACTTGGCCAGCTGTAAGCTCGAGAGCAAAACGGTCAAAATCAAAAGTACACATTAGAGTCTGTGTATACGCGCAAAAAAAACCGTTTCGATATTCGTGAACAAAATATCACGATACACGGTACTCGCATACTCATAAATGGGTAATCTTTTTACTCATTTAATGGGTAGTCCCAGTCTCCCTCGAAAATGCTTACTTTGTAGTCAATATCGAGTCTTTTAGTTCTTTAGAATTCATGACTTAGTTCCCATAAACGTGATCGAGTAAATCGAATTTTCATGAATTTAATCTCAAATCCGTGAATTTAGTTCACGTCTGCTCAGCGCGACTAGCGATTTCATAACGCTATGGAAAATACAAAATAAAATCATGATTTCGTGATACCATGGACCAGTGTTGGCAAAATCAATTGATATTTTTCCGCTCTCATGCGCTCGCAATATCACGCGTGATATTGGAACAAAATATCATGCTTGATATTGATTTTACAAGCTCCTTTGATATTGCGAGACTATTCACAACGTTGACTCGACACAAAAATGATTCCATTGCACATTGTTTTCTTAGAAAGAGAAAGCATAGTTTGCTATCTCTTTTTAATCTTCACCGATGGCAGACGCGAAGGGACTGGAAGTTTCGGTTGCATGCGGGTGTAAAGCAAAAATCATTAAACTCAATCTCACCACAGTTTGGTGAGATTTAAAGTTGGTGAGTTTTGTTAGCTTGATATTCCGAGCTGTGATATCACAGCTTGCAAAATCAACC